TATATATACATTCACATGAGGAATTAGAGGACATCCCTACCCAAATGGATGTGCTGTTCCTAGAAGTCTTGCATCCACATTCTGGGGTGAGAACACCCACAGACTAAACACCTTTACTTCCCACATTTTTATCTCCTTTATTTTTCTCAAAGAGAATTTCTGTGCACAGATGATCTTGAAGAACAGCAAGGCACTCAATCACCAAAGAAATATTCCATTTTTATACTTACTAAGGGAGGAGCAGTTTGAAAATTGGAATTTTACTGAACATGAACTCTGCATATACACAAAGGATAGATATACTGAATTCAGAGAAGTGCCCTCTCCCATGATCTCTGTGGTGGAGATTTCCAGAGAAACACTAGATATCAAGACCTTGAAATCCTCCCTGTGACCCATCTTCAAAATTTACAAATATATCCAACATAACCATTTAACTACTATTTAACCAACTCCTAAGTGGTTTTTAAAAGCATTCTAATTTTATTTTTCCTTACTAGTGATAAGAAAGGGACTGTCAAACATTACCATGTGCATACAAATGCTGAAAACAAACTCTACCTGGCAGAAAACTACTGTTTTGATTCCATCCCAAAGCTTATTCACTATCATCAACACAATTCAGCAGGTAAGTTATTTCATTTTTCTTTTATTAATCCTTGTCCACAAGTATCAATTTTCTTGAATATGACTGATTCTTCTGACATTCTTAATTATATAGAGAACCCTTAAATTAGGAAAAAATGTTCGCAAGCCCTTTGTCTGGTACAATTTTCAACTTAAACTTCTTGAAACATAACACAATATTATCTATAACGATAAAAGGAATAAGTTGAGTGACTTAGAGAAATTTTCTGTATGAAAATATCTGTAAGAGACAAGTATGGTGACTCATTCCTGTAATATGAGCACCTGGGAGGTTGAGGCAGGAGAATTACCTCCTGCTCAATGCTGGTCCGAATATATAGTGAGATCTTGTCTCAAAAAAGTATATTTTCTTCCTGCTATACAAGCAAGACTATTGTAAAAATCAAATATTATGGAAATATGTATCATTGGATGGATAACTTCATAGGAAAAGTTAGTATCAATTATGTCAGATTTTTTTACATTAATACATTTTTGTACATACAAGTATAAATTATATGTGTACAAACATTACATTTTTACAAAGATCATTCTCCACATATATTCTCCACTTTGCTTTCCTTTATATAACATGCCTTGAAGATCTTTCCGTGCAAAGTTGTAATCACTTACTTTCTTTTTTTATTAATTTTATTGAGAAACAAATAGCAATGACACAGTTTCAAAACCGATTAGGAGGACAGTTTCAATAATTAATACATTGCATATTGTTGTCTTCATAGTGGTTATTCATAGTACAAGATGCAGACATGATATTTTGTCCAAATACTATTAGTACAAATCTTTCTTCTCATTGAATTAAGAGAAACTAGTTGTATATCTATCCTATTTTGTATATACAGATACAAAATGATCTTTCATTTGTATCCCCTTTTTTGTTTAGTTTTGTCAGAGATGGGTATTCCATTGTCATTTAAATATTGTAGGTGCATGAATTCAGCAAAATAATCCAATATAGTCCAGTAGTCCATAATAGTAGGGGGTTATCCGTAGGACTGGCAAGGTCAGAAGTTGTTGACTTGAGCCTTTTACAGCTCAGCATATTAATATGGCTTTACTTTTTATACCTCATTTTTATACTTTTCTGCTGGTTATCTCAGTGATGTCCCAAATTTTCTGATCAAGGAGATTATGGGGTCACAGAGGAAAGTGATCAATGATGTAGAGTGTGCCTAAGGAGAGTCACATGGAGAGAAAACATTCTCTCAGGCTTTCACAGAGACCAAATTGGTCAAGCAATGACCATGACTCATACACACGGCTGACCTTGACAAAGGATCTACAAACTGTGGTACAGGGTTTCAGAATAAATCCTGAGGGGATTTGACTGACCTTGTCAAATCACTTACTTTCTATTTAACAGCTTGCCACTCCACCAGCTTCTCAGAAGCCTATAGAATCCTGTTGTACAATTCACTCATGATTCACTCATCTAATTCTCCGTTGGAGAGTTCTCCACAACTGGATCATTTCAATAATTCACATTACAATGGATTCTGCACTGCACATTGCTGCATACGAAGTTCTGCATACCTAGTTGCATGTGTCTGTAGCTAACTCCTAGAAGTGGGATTTCTAAGAAAAAAATCTAGAAATAGTGAAAAAAAAGGAAACAGAAAATGCTTTTCAGAAATCCCATTAGCAACAATTTCTCTCATCTTTGCCAACATTCAGTACTACTTTTCATTTAAACTTTTCACTAATTTACTGATCAGTATTTAGAAATTCCCTGTGATTTTCTTTAATTCATTTTAATGAAAAAGAAAGATAAAATAGCAATGAAACAGTTTCAAAATAGGTTAGTAGGACACTTACAATAATTAATACACTGTATATTGTTGTCTTCATAGTAGTTATTCAGATGGCAAGATGTAGGCATGATATCAAGACAAGAAATTCCCTATTTCTTGAATAGACTCACTACAGGGGAGTGACTCAATCAATGTCCAACAGTAATAAGCCATAGGCTTAGCATCAAATTTATTCCACTGCATCTGGCTCTGTTGCATGTACAGAGGCAAATTGGCCTTACTTCCGGCTTTCATTCTAACTTGTACTTTTATTTTGTCTTTGTTTAAATTTCTTCTACTGTTTATTTTAACTGTGGCACCTCAAGACTACTGTTTGTAAAAGATACTGCATGAACTTTGATCCCCAAATCAATGATTCTGCCCTATAGCATGCACGGGAAGCTTCATAGGGCATAAAAAGAATCTATTAGAATGTTTACTTAGCATTACATTTTAAAAAATCTTATGCTCTTAAATTTTCTACTTATTAATATATTCATGAGTCATGCACACATTGCAGCAGTAGCTGTACATATATGTATTTTGGAGAAATGTGTTGATTTTTATCTTGTTAGTTTCACTGATTAAAAAGGAAAACAAACACCTAGAAAAAGCAAAAGAAGGGTACATGTGTGACAGTTCCCATGACTTTGAAAATATGCCACATTTACAGCAAGATCATTCACCTTTCTGAGTGGGTTGCTTCAAGGCCCTATAAAAATTATGATTATTTTAATCCAGCTTTGTAAACAATTAAAATTACTTGATCATTTAATGAGAATTAACAATAGGTTTAACTTTTTAAAAATCAGATGTTTTATTTTGATTTTACATCCTTCTATATGATTTGATATATATGACTCTAAAGAGATAGAAAAATAAAAATTGGAAAATCTGATGTAATAGATTCCATCAAGCATCTAACTTCTATGGTATTTTTTAAAACCCACATAAAGTGATTTATCTACTCTTTGGATTTTTGCTTTGAATTGAGCTAGTTAATCAAGTCACACAAATCAATACAACTGCAAGATGAATATAGTAAAAATTGATTCTCTTTTTGTAACATAAAATCCTAAATTCTGCCTTTCCAGCTACTCTGGGGAGAAGCTATTTCTAAGCCAACATTCTGCAATGTGACATGATCAGATGCGATGATGTGATGATGTAATGTTTATTTCATTACAGGGATGATCACACGGCTCCGTCACCCTGTGTCTACTAAGACCAACAAGGTTCCAGTGTCTGTGTCCCTGGGAAGTGGTACGGACACATCTTTGAGCTCTTAAATGTCATTTCCCATCATAACTGAAAAAGGGAGTAGAAGGCTGGAGTGAGGTTCCTGCTTATATTGTACCAGAGAAAGCTTTGGCTCTAATATATTTACTTTCATTTTAAAAAATTCTTCCCACTTGTCCTAAATCACCAGTACTACCAGAAACACTGTCAATTTTTCCCTTTTATTAGATCCTATCATTGGTCTCTACCACCCCATTACTTGTCCTTTCTTTTTCTTCATCTGTGCCTGTTCAGTGGAGCCAATCCTCAACTTTGTGTGTTTATGATAATTACATCTACCTGGATCATAGTTTAATTTGCTTTATAAGAAAGTTTTGCAATATTTTACCAACCTAAGGGCATCAAGCATATTTTGCTATTGACTCTCCACAGCATGCCTCCAGTTGGCAAAGAGATTTTCTCTGAGCCTTGTCCATAGCTGTAGCTGCTTTGAAAACAGGTTTTCTTGAATGGCATTCTATGGGCATGAGACCACATAGATAAGGATGTGGGGCACCAGGGATTTAGCTCAGTGGTGCAGCACCTGCGTGACAAGTGTGAGGTCCTGAGTTTGATTCCTAGTACCCTGCTCCACAAAAAAGACTTTTTAAGTTATCACATTAACATAAAAAGGTTTTTATATTTATAGTGTGAGAAAATCTCTTTGGCGAAGAAGTCACTTGGGAAGCTGGTAGACCCGCTCCTTCTATGCTCATTGTCTAGGCTGTCTTTCCTCATTAGGAATTTGGGAACTGAGAAGAGAAGAGATTGCCCTGTTGAAAGAGCTGGGAAGGGGCCAGTTTGGAGTGGTCCAACTGGGCAAGTGGAAGGGGCAGTATGATGTTGCAGTGAAGATGATCAAGGAAGGCTCCATGTCGGAAGATGAGTTCTTTCAGGAGGCCCAGACTATGATGTAAGTTTCTCCTGAGGAATGTTGGTTTGCCCACCATGGGCAAGCATTACCACTGATAGGCCTGTCCCTAACCTGTGCGAAGCCTACAGCAGAGGGCCACATGTCATAGATACTTATAGCTATGTAAGTGTATATTATGCAAAGTGAGATTAAAAGCTACAGTGAATGTTTAAATTTTTAAAAAATATTGGGGCTGGCAAGATAGATCAGTGGTCTAAAGCACCTGCTTAGACAAGCTTAGACAGCCACAAGGGACCAAGGTTCAATCCCCGGTACCACATGCCTCGTCAGCCCCACCCTTAGGGTGGGCTGAGCTGCCTAAAAAAAATTATTATACTAAGAAACACATTGCGTGAATCTTCCTCAAAATATTGCCCCTCCCTTCAAACATACTTAGCCCATTCTTGCCACTTTCTGAAGCAGTTCTGGAAGTCCACTTTCTTGAGTATCTTTAGTCGCACTTTTGGGGCTGCCTCGGTGTCTAGAATTGATTGCAAACGTTCCCCTTTCATAGTCATTTTGACTTTGAAGAAGAGCCAAAAGTCACATGGTGCCAAATCTGGTATTCAGATTTGAGTGAAAACACACTGCTGAGTTTTCATAATGCTGCCTTTCGGTTTTATGGCACTCAGCAGTGCATTCAGCTTATCTTTGATCACATCTTGTACAGATATAAAGAAGACTTTCCAGTACTGCTTCAGAAAGCAGCAAGAAAATAAATAAATTAATTAATTAATTAAAAAAGGGGGGCTTGGGAGATGGCTCTGCACAATAAGCGCTTCCCTGGCAAGTGCAAGGGCCTGAGTTCAATCCTCGACTCCCCCCCAAAAAAAAGAAGAAAGCAACAAGAATGATGACCAACATGTGTTTGAAGACATAGGAAATACTTCCGAGAGGCATAAATGGCAATGCATCTTTCACTATAATAATTTCTAAAATGTAAGTGTTCACCGTATTTTTTATCACTGCTTAAAATTTATGTGTTGAGCTAATAAGCTGTTAAGTAAGACCAGTTCTATGTCACTACTTTTACAAATATATACCTCCATAACAGCCATAAAGGCCATGATTGGATTTTAAATTCTCATGACCCTGCAGATAAGCCAGCCTCTGGCCTATAGTCCTGGAAATCCTACCCTTGCCTTTTTATCTCCCAGCCACAGCTTTGTCCCATGCTAGGAAGGCCTTAGTCATTATAGGCAGACACAGAATTCAGTACATCCACACTGTCTCCATCTCTCACAAACAACTAGCTATTGTTTAAAGATCTTGGCTCAGGGTAACATGGCCACCTTTGGGGGGACAGATCCAAAAGGAGTCTTTGGAGTTCCTGGAAGAGTTCTAAAAACTACATAAACAGAGAGCTCCAGAGTTTTGATATCCCTCAAGGGTTGAGAACAGGATGCACAGTCTGTGAGCAGGAACATCTCCTTTGCACTATGGCCTCCTTGCCCTATGGGAGGAACATGGTGGGAGAAGGGAGAGAGCCAGGCTATTGCCCAGAGCTAAGGCAGTACTGAAAACTAATGCTCTACCAACAACTCCTTTCCTTTTGTTTCTTTGCACCTTCCATACAGTCTAGACAAAATCTTTTTCTCAACCCACTTTTTTCCTCGCCTCATAAATGAAGGTATATGTGTTGATATGTCTCAATTTGAAGCTCTTTCTCTCTGTCTCTGCTTCTCTCTCTCTCTCTCTCTCTCTCTCTCTCTCTCTCTCTCTCTCTCTCTCTCTGTCTCTCTATTTGTCTCTCTTTTTCTCTCTCTCTTCCCCTCTCTCTCACCTATTCACTCTGTTCTTTTCTTTCTTTTTTTTTTTGTATTTTAGGGAAGGGTCTACAGGGTGTTCAGGGTCTCACCACTAGATCGGACTCATAGTGATCTGCCTGTTTACAGCCTCCTCCCAAGAGCTGGGATTACAGGTGTGTGCCACCACACCCAGTCTCAATTGCTGTCTCGATGTGCCCCGGGGGCAGGACCAGCACAGCAGGCCGGGGAATCAAACCGCCAGCCCCTGCATCTGCTTGTGGACACTTTAATCTGCTGAGCTATTTGACCAGCCTCACTCTGTTCTTTTCATCATGCTGAACAAGACTTTGTCCGGTGACCAGACATTATTCAGGTTTTCTTGGGACCTTCTTGGTTTTAGTGCCTCAGTTCCAGGCAAACCAGCACTACTGGGCATTCTACTCTTAGTGAACCAGTCAACACAGTGAAAAACCTTGGAACTGGGTATGGTGGCACATGCCTGTAATCCCAGGAAGACTGAGGCAGGAGGATTGCAAGTTTGAGGCCACCCTGGATGACTTAAGTTAGCAAGATCCTGTCTCAAAAAATGTAAGAGGGCTGGGGATGCAGCTCAGTAAGAAGACCCCAGTTTCAATCCTCAGAGAAAAAAAAACCTACACTAAACAAAACAATGTTGCAGCAAGGCTTTCGTCAAGGATCACTAAAATCACAAATCCTAACCTGCTACAGATTGAAAATACTTTAAAACTTTATATTTTAACACTTAGGCAGTGTTTAGCTCCATCTCTCAAACACTTCATGCATAGTAAGTCATTCAGTTTTCATGAGAACTTTATTAGGGATATACTTTTGTCATCTTTGTTTTACAGTAAACTGAAGCAGAGAAATACTAAGTCACCCAAAGTCACCAAGCTAATAGAAATGGCAAAGCAGAGATGTAAAGCCAGACAGAGTGCCCTCATATTCGTTTCTTTAGTCCTTCCCTTAGGAAGATAAAGGAGCCAGGAAATTCAGCACAACCACTTTTCCTGTAATTGCACAATTGTTGGAAAGCAGAGGTGCTCTGTGATCGTAAACATGAGTAGGGCTGGCTTCATAGGCATGCCACCTGCATAGACACAAGGGCCTCTGGGTCTCAGAAGTGCTCTGTCCTTGAGGCCCTTATGGTGCCATTTTGAAAAACTTAATAATTTTCAAATAGAGATTCTTCCATTTTTATTTTTCACTTATAACAGTGAAATTCTGCAGTTACTTCCATACTTAGCAATTGGGCTGTCATAAAACTTGGGATGGGACCCTTGATATTCTCCTTATGCAGGACAGAAAAATCTGGCAGAGACTCTCTTAGTCACATGACAAAACTGCCTGTGACCGGACATGAGAGTAAAACTCACTTTGGTCATTCCAGAGCTAGTACTCACAAAAAATCTTAAAAAGTCACCTAATCATAAAGAAGGATGTCAAACTGTGCCACAATAGAAAATACCTGTTAAATCCCAAAGGAAATAGGCCTCAAGCTGAGGTCTGTTCTATGGGAGCCCTCTGGGCAGTGGCTGCATTCGCTCAAGGAGCAACTTTCACTGGGTGACCAACCTTTGTCCCTCCCTGTGACTAGAGTTTTGCTGAGGTCCCTGCAGACCTCTTAAGGCACTAATCATCTTGAGTACCAATGACAATCCACTTCCTTGTAATTAAAGGAAGAAATTAGAGGAGCAATCCATGTCCCTATAATTAGAAGGAAGAAAACCAAGCCTTTGATAAATTCTCATTTATTACAAAATTAAAAGGTTAACACATTACATTTAATGTACTTTTCACATCCAAACATAAAAGAATCATCATTTTAAAAAATCATCATGCAAATTGCTAAGATTGATAAATCACAGGACAAAAATGATGATCACGCGTGGTGGTGTGAGCCTATAATCCCAGCACTTGGGAGACTGTAAAAATCTAAGCATCCATCCCATCATGACCTTACCAGACATGCTGCATCCTGTAGTTGCTATTTTCTACATTGATTGTTTAAAGATAACACAACAAATCATGCAAACCGATATACTTTTTAAAAAGCAGGAAAAAAAATCATGCCTAACCTCACTCCCCTAAAATGGCAACTAATATGTTCATTTTACCTATATCCTTTGTATTTTGTAGATATATTTCCAAGAATGCTACCATGCTTCTACGTAGGAAAGGTGAACACAGCATCCACAAACTGTCACATTGCCATTGGGGTTGCCAATGTCTAACATGAGGCAGAATTTTTGCCTAAGGAAGGCTGTTACCCTCCCACCAAAATTCCTAACTTTCTCCTCCTTTCCCTGTTCAGAACAGAGAACTAAACCAGAGAATTCAAATAAACAAAACTCTGAGAGTCCTTCTTTTTCAGGGCATCCGGAAAATGAAGGGTAGAGTACTGACCTTTGAAAATCTTTTCTTTCCAGGAAACTGAGCCATCCCAAGCTAGTTAAATTCTATGGGGTGTGTTCAGAGAAATACCCCATATATATAGTCACAGAATACATCGCCAATGGCTGCTTACTGAACTACTTGAAGAGTCATGGGAAAGGACTAGAAGCATCCCAGCTCCTAGAAATGTGTTACGATGTCTGTGAAGGAATGGCCTACTTGGAGAGCCAGCAGTTCATACACCGTGACTTGGTAAGCCAAGCTTTTGGAGGTCCACAAAGAAGAAGAAAGTAGTCCACACTTGCCCCTGCAAGATGGAGCTGCTGGGAGGGAAGGAAAGGGAGGGGGCCTTCAGTTTCACTTTACTCACTTGTGACTGGTGTAAGCAATGCACTTTCAGATACAGAAGTCACAATTGTAAAATAAAATATTTGAAGCATGGAAAGAATAGTAAAACAAGTCTTCAAGGTCTATGTAGTTAGTTGTGTTGTAATGGAAAGAATAGATAGAAAAGAAAAACTTTGACCAATCTATTGTTTCTCAAAACCATTAAACTCATAGCTCAGCAGATTAAAGAGCCTGCAAGCAGGTGCAGGGGCCAGGGGTTCAATCCCCAGGGCTCTGGTGCCGGCCCCACCCCCAGTGTGTGCTGAGGCAGCAATTGAGACTGGGTGTGGTGGCGTGAGCCTATAATCCCAGCACTTGGGAGGCTGTAAACAGGTGAATCACTACGAGTCCGATCTAGTAGTGAGACTCTGAACACCCTGTAGACCCTTCCCTAAAATACAGAAAAAATAAATAAATCGATAAATAAATAATAAAAACCATTAAACTCAAGATGTCCTTTGCTCTGCATAGAATTTAGTGGTAAAAGTTGTCATTTAATGTAATAACTGGAGGGAAGAAAGGGAAATGTAATCTCTCTTTCTCTCTTTGTGTGTGTGTGTGTGTGTGTGTGTGTGTGTGTGTGTGTGTGTGTGCATATGCTTGGGTTGGGTGGGAGTGTGGAGTGTTCTGAGTGGTATTCACTGGAATTTATTTATCTTCAGAGATTTCCTTCACTGATCAACAAAACCTGGCATGCACCCTAGGCTAGTGCATTGCAGCGTTTATGCCTTCAAGGCATCTGTTAATATACAATGGCTAGTGGTGGGAAGGTAGCCCCTCCACCTTGTTCCTGTCTCTTCAGGAAGCTAAGGCTCTATGTTTAAAGTGTAATACTTTCATAGCGTCTGACAAGGATAGGTGCTTGGGTGAAAAGACTTATGGGAAACATTTTCATTTTGAAAAATTGAACATTGAGAATGACAAAAAGACAGCTTCAGAGAGTGTGAGCTGTGATTAGCAATCTTAGATTTTGCTGAGAATTCTGCTGAAGAGGAGAAAAAGGTTTAACTGATGTCAGGAGTTGAGACTCTTGGTCACTTTTATTACATGCTGAGTTTGTTTTCCTCCCCAAAGGCTGCTCGGAACTGTTTGGTAGACAGTGATCTCTCTGTGAAAGTCTCTGACTTTGGGATGACAAGGTAAACCAATGTTCTTCTCTACCAATTTTTCTGATGTTTTTAGTAGAGAGCTCGAACACTGGTGTATGTAGTTTTTCTATGAATTATATATGTAGGATATTTTCCAGAATTGTTTATAACAGAAGATTGGAAACAATTTACACAATTAAATATGTTACGTTATTCCATAAGAGGGAATATTATTCAGCCATTGTAAAAATGACATACTAGAACATGTAGCCACATAAGAAAATTCTCACCACATACTATGAAAGGGAATCTCAGTAGAACAGAAATCCATATTTGGGGCTGGGAAGATAGCTCAGGAGCTTGCCTAGCAAGGTCAAGGTCCTGAATTTGATCCCTAGTACCACACAAAAAAATGATAGATGATGGGGCTGGAGAGATAGTCTGGTGGTCTAAGCACCTGCCAGCCAAGAGCAAAGTCTCGAGTTCCATCCCTGGTACTACATGCCATGTTGGCCCCAGAACTGGGTGTTGTGGTGCACATCTGTTATTCCAGCACTGGAAAGGCTGAGACAGAAGGAACACTATGAGTTCAAAATCCAATTTTGTTCAAAGTACACATAGAGAAAAACTGAACAGTAAAACACAAGCAAAAATGTACCTTGAGGGGCACAATTACAGGTTATCTTTGAGGTAGGATTCAGAGTGACTTTATTTTTACTTTCTCGGTGTTTTTCTGTATTTACCAACCACTTTGCGCTTAAGTTTTGCTATGTTCAAAGTTACAGCTCCTACATGTTTACAAATCATAAGTAGCCTCCAGCTAAGCTGACACACAAAAGGAAATGCAAATGCTGAATACCAAGACATTTAGCTGAGAATTCAGATGGATCTCTGTCCTTCACCAGCTTCTACCACCACAGCAAGGTGGCCAGAAGTGGTTGTACCATTTTGCACCAGTATGTGGCTTAATGTCTGTATACATGTGTCCTTTACAGGTATGTTCTTGATGACCAGTACGTCAGTTCAGTAGGAACAAAGTTTCCAGTCAAGTGGTCAGCCCCAGAGGTGTTTCACTACTTCAAATACAGCAGCAAGTCAGACGTATGGGCATTCGGTAAGGAAGTGGCCACACAAGGCCCAGCCCTGTTGCATAAGCTTGCTTCCACAAGAGGAAGCCGCAAGGCCTGCAATATCTATTTTTTAAAAGTCCTTAAACATACAAAATTATACACATAGCAGAAGACAAACAAGCAAATGAAGAAAATGATTTACTCTCTTGAGCCAGGTATTAGTATGTTCTCTACACATTGTATAATTTACATCCATCTATCATTTTCCCATACAATCAAAATGTATAAAAGATTTTTCCAAAGAAGATTTCAAACAGTTTTTTTAAAAGAACTCATTACAAACTAAATTGTACTGACTTAAAGCTCAAAAAGTCGAAGGCTTTAAGGTAAAGTCATTGATTCTCTGAATGAAAATGTGATAAGCACTTCCCTCTGGAGGGGCCAATGTTCTGAGCATCTCTAATGTAAACCTAAGAACGTCTTAGGTGGCTGCTTTATTTAGATCTGTATCAGTCAGCTTTCCAGCACTATAACAAATACCTGAGATAATCAATTTAGAAAGAAAAAGGGTTTATTTGGGTTCACAGTGTTGGAAGTTCCAGTTCATGACAAATTGATTCTTCTTTGGGGTCCTTGTTTGAGGTGGTATATCATGGCAGGGAGCACAGGATGGAACAAGCCTGTTTACTGCATGTTCTTTGGAGCAGCAAGCAAAAGGAGGCAGAGGAGGAGCAGGTGTCTTGTTATCCTCTTCAAGTGAACAACCTCTGTGACTGCCAGACCTCCCTCTAGGATTCCCTTTAGTTCTGACCCTCCCAATAGCACCCAGCTCAGGACCAAGCCTTTAACACATGTGCCTTTAAGGAACATTCAGGATGCAAACTCTACCAGGCTCATACCTCACATCAAGTAGTCTCTCCTTGCTAAAATTTATATTTTAAATCAAGAGCATGCAAATCACTGTGCAGGACCCAACTAGCTAGCCTGTTCTATAAATATAGATTTATTAACATACAATTATGCTGACTCATTTTCATATTATCTATAGATAATCTTGTGCTGCAACAACAGAGTAAAGTAACTGCTACCTGCCCCACAAAGCCTAAAGGGCTTGTTATGCAGGCCTTTTGCAAAAGAATGACTAGTTCTAATTTCATTAAAATCCATGTATGTTGGGGCTGGTAAGATGGCTCAGTGGTCTAAAGCACCTACTTGGAACAAGCTTGGCAAATCACAGGGACCGCGGTTCAATCCCCCAGCACCACATGCCAGCCAGCGCCGCCCCCTGGTGGGCTGAGCTGGCCACACACACACACACACACACACACACATAAATTAAAAAAAATTTAAAAATCCATCTATGTTAAAATTCAGTAATTGGTCTGGGGACGTAGCTCAGTAGGAAAGCATCTGCCTGGCATGCTCAATGATTCGATCTGGATTTGACCCTCTGTGCTGCAAAATGAAAACAAAACCAAATTTCACTAAAGCAGGATTTAGTGAAAGTAATTACAAAGTGAAAAACAGTTCTTGCAATGTGACTCTGTAGATTGTGAGGTATTTTATTTTTATGTGGTGACAATGTCAGTACTGTTTTCAATCATCATCAGATGGGTCCAGGATAAGTAATTGAAGCTACCATACGGTCATAAAATACATTAAATATGATGGAGACGTACTTTTTGCCTGTCTTAGTCTATAACTATAATTTGATTTACTGCTTGACACCTGCAAGGTGGCCAAAGACAGGAAAATTTAATGGCTATTTATTTTTCTATGTGATACATTTTTTTAAAATATTCATTCCCTTTGGAAAAATTGTTCATCATAAAAGATGATCAAATATATGTAGGAAGGGGGAAAAATCACACACAGATAGTACTTTGGTGAATACATGATGTCATTCTGATTGATTAAATGTTGTCCTTTGTCAAAATTAGTTTCAATATCCATACATCAAGTGATTTGCCTAATGTATGACATTTTGAAAATCAGTGATCTCATTCAATAGTCACAGCTTGTTGACAAAACAGCAGCACTCCCCAGCTTGCTCATTCACTTTATGTGACAGAACTTGGCTCCAGATATGTTCTGGCTGTTACTAAATAATGAATCTATTCTTAAACAATTTGACCCCAGTGGCGATACTCAAAATGAGTGAGGGACTCTGAAAACTGTTCCCAAAGAGGAGCTCCCCTGATATTTTGAAGAGTAACTTCCACTATGGAATAACTGTGTAGCCTTTCAAAGAGAAAGTTGCAAGAGAGCATCTCTCTTTTGGGTTGCTTTTGTGGAATATGTGGGTTTAAAAAAAAAGAATACACTACAACAATTTATAAGGTTGGGTGCTCTATTGTACATGTTCTACATAAAATCTGTGGTCTTAAAGCAAAGAAATCAGGACCTCGGTTATGGTTCTTCCATAATTCTGGCTTTTGTAGGCTTTGAACTTGTCTGACTGTTGAAATTCTCTGTTCTTGCACAGAATAGCATCAGTCTGACAGCACTTAAAGTGTCCTGGCACTTTTTGAAGTGTGCTGCACAGTGAACCTTGCTTAATCCTTGTGGCAAGTCCACTAAGTGCAAATGCTCTTTTATAGAACATTGAACCTGAGGCTGTAGGGAGATAAGGAATTGACCCAGCCTACAAGTGGCAGAAGTTGGCTTCAAGGGGCCCATCTGATTGACCCCATCCTCTTGAGCACCGTGACCCAAACTGAGTTTCTTAACCTGGAGTTTATAGTTCCCTGCGCACACCCTGAGAATGAACACAGAACTACTGTGCATTCACATTCCCAAGGGTTATGCCCAGTGGCTTTAGCAGATTCCTCAAAGGGTACCTGACCTATACAAGATTTTCAATGTGCAACAGCAAAAGAAAGTGTGAAGTCATCAACTATTTTGTCTTTAAATTTCCACAGAAAGGTAATTTCATTGTGCAATGAAGTTGCGCAGAACTGCTAAAGCAGAAGGAAAAGAGGGGTCGAGGACTTCAGTGGATCACTCACTGGGGTGGGCTTGGGGTTCACTACACCAGGTTGTACTACTGTGAGGCTCAGAGAAACACCAGCTGTCTTCATCAATAGCCTTGGCCCCAAGTGGCTCCCTGTGTGGCTGCCCTTGCCATGAGCCGGTTTACAGAAAGCTTACACATGCAGATCTCAGGAGCCTGGGGATGAGACCTTGAGCTCTCTACTCCCTGGCCAGCTCACTAGTACTCAATTTTCTAAGGTCTCTTGCTCTGACCCACAGCCTTCCAGACTGTGGCATGACACTCATTCCACCAACCTTGTACCTTCTATCTTTCTCTCCCTTGTGCAACACAGGAATCCTGATGTGGGAGGTGTTCAGCCTTGGGAAGCAGCCCTATGACTTGTATGACAACTCCCAGGTGGTTGTGAAGGTTTCCCAGGGCCACCGGCTCTACCGTCCACAACTGGCATCAGACACCATCTATCAGATCATGTACAGCTGCTGGCATGAGGCAAGTGCACTCCTTGAGTGAGCTGGAGGGCTGGGAGACCCAAGTGCTTCTGAAGTGATCTCTGTATCACCCCAAGGACAAAGCTTTGAGGAGGGAAACCACCTGCTGCACAGGAAAGGGAGGAATGGCCCTGCTCCTCAAATGTTTGAAATCTAACATGAGTTATACAGGTGCTGATAAATTCCTAAAAAATTTACATGCAGCACTATTCTAAGAACTTTATAAATATTATGTTATTTATTCATTAGAAACCATACTATGAGCTAGATGCTTTTACCACTAAAACTAACAGGAGAAGAACTAGAAAGCCAGAGAGCTTAATTGGCCTGCCCAAGATCACATAGCTAGTAAAAGGCAACCTAATCTCTTAACTACAAGGCTATAGAGTCTCTCCTCAAGCAGAAATGTGTAAAAAGGACATCTGACCACATGAAGAGCGCATATTGCAGACAGGATCCAATCATCTCTCCTTCTGCCTCCCAGACACTTAGCACAAGCACTCCCGTCAGGTATAAGACATGGGAATCTTACAAGGAAGATATGGAACTAAAGTTGCAAGAGATTGATTTCCAAAGCATCCACTATGTTCAGAGCATTCATGAGGAATGATAAAGAAGCAAGAGGCTCCATGTTTATCCCATTGAAATCAAAGTCTTTATACCCATACACACACGTGCATGCACAGGTACACACAGTGCAACACCAGGCAGTTGATAATTATGTATGCAAATTGGAAAGATAGAAAAATAGAAGAAAAGCTCAGAGGAAAAAGAGCAGCTTCCTGAACACATTGGTAACTGAGCTGAATCAGAGAATCTGTAAAATTCTCTTGGGAATTAAGACCTTAACAAAGGGTATCCAGGCGAGAAAGCACAAGCAAAGGTATGGAGGCAGGATGCAGCGAGGTGTTCTTGGCTGGAGCTGCTGTTGGAAGGGTGGAATCTAAGTTTGGTCCATGTTCTGCAAGCTAAGTGACAAGAAGAGTATGAGTTTTATTTTTCATAGGCAGTGAGGAACCACCGACGATTCTTGAGCAATGGCATGAAAAAGGAAAACTTTCCCAAGTATTCTGAGCTCATAGATCTTAACCAATATGTATGTGCTTATTGACAAGTGCACCTAACACCACACTCATGCACTCACTGATGCATTCATTCATTCAATAGTAGAAGCAAATTGGTGCATAGTCACACACATAGATGTTGGAAACAGAATACCTGGGCCGAATCTTGCCTGATCATGAACTAGCTACATGATCTTGTATGAGCCTCCTAGTAGATTACACGCATCTACACATACTTCATAGCTCTATTGTGTTGGATTGGATTAATTAGTATTTTAGTATATTATTTTTATTATTAAGTTATTAAAGCAGTGCCTAATACACAGTGTTTTGTGATTACTGTTGTTTTTGTATATATAATGATATATGTAGAGAGATTTTGTAGGTTTTTTCCTTTCTCTTCATTCTATTAATTTTATTGAAAAACAAATAGCAATGAGATAGTTTCAAAACCAATTAGTAGCACAACTTCAATAATTAATATATTGCATATTGTTTTCTTCATAGTGGTTATTCATAGTACAAGATGCAGACATGATATTCTGTCCAAACACTATTAGTACAAATCTTTCTTCACACTGAATTAAAAGAAAGTAGCTATTTCGTATATAACAGGTACAAAATGGTCCTTCATTTATATGCCCTTTTTT